TTTTTTGGTTTTTCTCTGGTACCGGGAACCGAACTCACGACCTTGCGCTTGCCAGGCAGGCGCTTTTGCCACTGAGCTAAATCCCCAGCCCCTTCAACATTTAAATAGCTTCTTCTGCCTTATAGGAGAGGTATATGAATAGATAATGTATAATCTCAAAAGGAAATTGAAAATTATGGAGCACCTTAAAAAGTAAGGGATTAATAAACACCACAGAATGCCTCTAAGACAGCCCACAAAGAAATGTCCTGCTATTCATTCATGCTGATATCTTTCTGCAAAATTATTCTATGTGTAGATTATCGAGAAGGTACATTACTTGCTTGAGAATAACATACACAACCTATGTTACCCTGCCCCAGCTGAGAAAATATTTGTGCAAAGTAGAGAAGCTCAAAGAATCTACAATGCTTCTTTTCAATCCAAAGAACCTAACAGCTCTTAGAATAGAAAGAAGTAAAATTTTCATGTCTAACCATAGGACTGGTGTTTATTATAAAGAACACATATTAATGAGATACAAGTACCTTTAATAATGACTCTGCAAGATGTATACTATGAAGCAAAAATTTTTATATAATGGCAGATACTTATTTGAACTCAAAATATTCTTCCAAAACCTCTTTTGAGGTTTTATGACTCACATAGTTTCAGAATCCTTTTTCTGTCCTATCCCAGAGTCAACAGTATAAGAATCCCAGAGTAAATATGCGATATTTATATTAATCTCAGAGGTTTTGCGTCCCTGAAATTCTCTGGTAGACTAAAGCGAATGTCTTTCAAATATATCCATGGTACCCATGAAAGTTACTTTATACAAAAGGGGGCAGGGTTTTCCTAATGTACTACATTGAGGATCTTGATATGGAGAGATGGATTATCCAGATTGGCCCTAAATCTTCAATGCAATTATGTCCATCTTTACAACTTTGTAAAGTAAATTTCATGCAAAACTTTCTCCTTTTTTGTGACCACAAAGTAAGAAATATAAGTAATGCAACTGCAATCTAAGCTGGAAGAGGCAAAGAGTGCATCATCTAGAGGACTTTCTGAAGGAATGAAAACTGGTCAGAAATTTAGTTTGGGCCCATTAACCCCATTTTTTTAAAAATTCTATACTCTAGAATTGTAGAAGAATAAATATTCTCTGGTTTAAGACACTAATTGGTGAAAATTTGTTTCAGAATCCATAGAAAACTAATAAGTCCAATATTTAAAAAATCCTCTAGCATTTTGAAAGGGAGACTTTCCCCACTCACTCTGCATAAGTGGTGTGGAGCCCATGAGACTGCAGGCTAAGACTGGAGGCCGTACAGGACCTCATCCCAAATGCGCATGCTAGGAAAGATTTTAGATGTGGGAAGAGCTTATAGAGTCATAAGGATGGAAAGCCCATCTACCCCTATTCCTGTCTTTTTGAAACACTGAAACCAACCAACTGAAATATACTTACCATGAAGACTGCGTTTTCTCTTTTCTCTTACTCGATTACCTAGACTGGTGTCTTAATGTTCTTTTAATGGTTAACTTAAAATTTGTATTTTGCAGTTTGCCATATTTATCAAAGTATTTTCAAACTCAAAAAATACATAGCCTGTCAAAAAATGTATCCACAACTCAGGAAAAGAAAGAGTTGTCAAAATATTTTAATACTAAATTTTTTTGAGACATCATGAGATTAGTACAAGTTAACTTTAGCTTCTACATTTACAAAAGGTGCTCAAGGTTGCCATTAATTTCCAGACATTTTTTAATTTTCTTCTTCTGAAGTGTGTGTACATTATTTGGCAGACTCTGTATATAGTATGACTACATTTTATCTTTTATAAAGAAATGTGATACTTAATTCTAAGGCTTTCACCCAAAGTAATCAAACCCACTTCTTTTCTACAATAGTTTCTCAGACTGAATAAAGCACCATATGAGGGAAAGTAGCATACTGATTTCCATGGAAACTGAAATATTAACTGAATGTGCATGTAACCTCATTCAAATACATTCTTGTCCCAATACTCAGAAAAATGCTCTTTCCCATTTAACTATATTATCAGTAGTCTCCAGCAGGAGAGAAGAGTATTGTCATTATAATCATAAAATTTGTGATATTTATCTGCCTTTTCTTTCTTTCAATTCCTATTTCTCTGAAATATTTTCAAATATTATATTATCAGAATATTTTATTGTTTTATTTCAAATATTGTCAAGTATAAAATACATAATTCAGAAATAATAATGAATTTTCTCTCTGGAAGAAAGCAAGAAGACTGCAAAAATCCTATGACAACTTTTCATCTGATTTCTTTTTCTTGCTCTTGATGCGATCCCACTTTATCAGGATGCCTGCATCCTCCCAACCACCTTCCTCAATGCATTCTTCACATCCTTGTTCCTCAGGCTGTAGATCAAGGGATTCAGCATGGGGATCACTGTGGTGTAGAACACAGAGGACACTTTCTCCTGCTCCATCGTATTGCTGGAAGGGGGCTTGAAATACATGAATGTAATGGACCCAAAAAAGATGCCCACAGCCATGAGATGGGAGCTACAGGTGCCAAAGGCTTTGGACCGTCCTTCAGTGGAGTGAATACGGAGGATGCTAGAGAGGATGAAACCATAAGAGATGAGGACAGCTAGCGTTGGTGCTAAGGTATTAACTCCCCCGATAATAAACAGCAATATTTCATTAATGTGAGTGCTGGAGCAAGACAGAGTCAGTAGGGTAGAATATCACAAAAATAATGCCTGACAATGTGAGACCCACAGAAGGACAACATTGACATCCGGGTGGTGTGGACTGTGGCCCCGAACAAGCCCAGTGAGTATACTACAGCCGTCATCATGGCGCAGACCCTGTGAGACATGGCAATATTATAAAGCAGTGGGCTGCAGATAGCAACGTAGCGATCATAGGCCATCGCCGTCAAAAGGTAGCCTTCTGCAATGACAAAAATAAGGAAGAAGTAGAGCTGAGTCATGCACTCCAGAAAGGAGATAATGTTTCTTTCTGACAGAAAGTTCACCAGCATTTTAGGGGTAATGACAGAGGAATAGCACAGATCAATGAAGGACAAATGACTGAGAAAAAAATACATTGGAGAGTGAAGTTGAGAACTGATGACAATTAAGAGGATCATGCCCAGGTTGCCCGCCACCGTGACCACATAGATTCCAAGAAACAAGAGAAAGAGGGGCAACTGAAGCTCTGGACGCTTGGTTAACCCTTCAAGGATAAAATCAGTCACTGAAGAACAGTTTGAAGTAGCCATTTCTTACAAAATAGTATCTGTAGGAAGAATAAGAGAAAAGAGGAACATCAGGTGTATTTTCTGATCCCAAAGGAGAAGGATCTTTTTGATTGTTTCCTTCTCTGACAGCTTTATGTGTACCGTGACTTTATCCTTTCCAAGAATCTCTTAAAAATTCAAAGAAAAAGACTCTGAAACACAGAGCCTTTGTTCCACCCAAACCCAACCATTTCAATGTTGCTGTTTAAGGAAATGTCCTTTCTTTTCATGGCTTTACTTTGAGAAGTGCTAAGTGCTTCACTTTCAGAAAAAACAAAATCAAAAACTGCTGGGGACCTGACCAACATCCCCAGCTGCCTGTATGAATGGTACAGCAAAGGAAGAAACAAAAGACAAGACAATAGAAGTGCACACAGGGGCTGGAAGGTCAGTGGACCTCTCATTCTGACCTGTGAGCACCACAGCCTCACTGACCATTAAGGTCTCCCCAGTGGCTGGGAGAAAACAGGAGTTTCCGTGTCCTAAACAAGGCAAAGCAAGCACAGGCTTTGAACAGACCCTAGCCTCAATTTATCATTTTGCCCCCAACATTTCCCCTTCTGTATATTTTATTGTAGAAATTGAATCAGCGTGAGCTATGGCTGTAGATCCTCTAGACATTGATGAGTTTGAGTTCTTCTGTGGCAGACTAAGAATAAAACCAGAGGACATAAACTAATCACTACGAGCACAGCAACATAAAGCCAGAAGTGAGCCTTGAGCTATTTAAAATGAGTTAGCTGGTCGAGGGCATCAGAAAATGTATCCTAATCTTGTATTTGTTTATCAAAATTATGATTTTGTGGAGGCAGAGACGATATTTCCTTTTGTAAAGCATTGAGGTCTAGAGTTATATTTTGATACACTCCCTCATGAACATTTTTTTTAAATATCTTCTCAGGGGTGAGCAGACCTATTATAGGGTAGGGAAGTTATATAAAATAGGATAACATTATAGTGACATTTAAGGCCTTGTTATATCTGTAGGCTTTTAATTTGATTTTTTATCTAAAGAACTATGGTCTCTAGCATGCTTGTTTGTGATTGAAGCCTAGTGTGTATCATGAGCTGTGTCTTTTAAGCCTTGTCTGTTTTGTTTGTCCAATTATCTATAAAGTGAGCTGTCTGGACGAGAGAGCATGAGTAACAGAAGAGATAGCCACATGGGACAGCAGCAGTACTACGAAGACTATTTCAGCAATAATTAGGTCAATGATTTTTTTTAGTTTTATGTATAAGATGAATAATTAAGGACTATAAAAGATGTGGTGTCAGAGTGTGAGAACAAGTTTAGTGAAATTAACTGCTATCTACACTCTTGGCAGAAGTCCAAGGGCCATTAAACTTTTACCAATAACTTTTCTTGCTTAAATGTAATGAGTTAAGATATGTTTTGTATTTGTACGGTAAGTTTTATTTTGGACTACAGTTCTGTAAAGGAAAATAGAAGAGATGTAAATATATATTGAAGTTCTTTGACAGTCACTGTGTTTAGCCACCATGATAACAGCATCCTTAGTGGGGTGCATTTTTCTCCCACAGCACAGGGCAAAACAAGTTTATAAACAGTAATATAGGCCTAGGCTTGTCATTAATCAAGTCCTGTGAAATTGTTGTGTGAAAGCTTGCACCCTGTCAGATAAGTTCTCCTTTAGGGAGCGTCTGTATGGCGATCATGTTTAATCTATGTTTTTGTTTACAACATTAAAGTATCTCAGTACGTGCCAAAAGCATATTCAGACTCTGTGGTCACAGGGTTTCCAAATCTAGCTCTGAAGACATAAAAGTAGGACATTTCAGTTTCCCAAACCATATACATGAATCAGCATATGCAGCATTCTCTACAACTGGGAGGTAAGAAACATAAAAGATATCTATGAAGAGATCACAGATACAGAAAGCATTTAATGAAATGCCTTTAAATCACTTCAGGCCCTGGTCCTCTCAATTCCGTCCTCTGAAAGAAAATCTCGAGTAAGCCTGGACTTATTCAGTGTGGATGTGATTGACAGAAGTGTTGTGCCATTGTTGTCTCACACTACAGCATACACCTTCTTTGCTCCAGAAACACTAAAAGAATAGGGTAGACTTCCACCTGTAACACTAACTTGCTTTTTTACTCTGACAGAGTAGGGTTGACTTTCACCTATAACACCTCAAGCATGAAAAAAGTAGTGCTGCCCTCCTTGGAGCATTGCTCCTCCTGCCCATCATTCCAAATGAAACCCTCACTGACCTTCCTTCCAAAGGAGTTAGATTAAAATTGCAGGCTTTCACGATCACTGACAGTTTCTTCCCAAATTCCAATCAGAGCAGAAGCATTTCGTATTACCTAAAGGATCAAGAATGATAATTTTTCACTGAGTCATTTGAATAATAAAAAATGTTCCTTTGACTCATAATACAGTATTATCAGTGTAATAGGGATCTTTAAATTCTATTTTTCAAAATGAGAAGAATCAATAGATGTTCCGTATATAAGGAATAGCTTGTTTTTATTTTTGCATAAAAACAATACTGTGATCCCAAAAATATAAGTTGCTATAGTATATTTTCTTTGTATGCCTTCTCTAACATATGAAGGGTACTAAATATATGTGTTGATTCAAAAGCTGAGTTAGATGAAGCATTATCTCCAAGAGCACATGGGGAAAAAATCATGTCTCTGAATGGAGAAAGTTAGATAATACTCTAAGGGAAACAGCCCAGGGGTTATCAAGATATAACTCCAAGTAGCCCCATCAACAATGACTGTGAAACTGGCCCATCTGTAGGCAGATGCTCTGACCTTATTCGTTGAATCTTCTGAACCAGACAGATGCAACAGACTCAAACAAACATCAGCACATTTGAAAGTCAGCCCAGACAGAGGTTGGGCATTTTGGATTCAGATCCATTTATTATGTACCACAATTGATGAATAGACTCAAACATAGCTGACACACTTCTTTTCATTATAACAAAATCCCCGATAATATAGAATTTTTCTATGAGGAAGGAGTGGTCTAGAGCCAGCTTCACAGTATACATGTCTCTTTGTGATGGAGAGACATTTCTGTTGATTTTGAGACTAAAACTGCTGATCTGCCAGAGTAAACCAAACTACTTAGTGTCTGCTTTGACAGAGCTCAGCAGATGGGGCAAAGCAACAGAGAAGTAGTACTTCAGTTATCTGGGGATACTTATCAAGTGATATAAAACCTCAGAAAAGTATGTGCATGAAACACCTTTAAGAAACCAATGTAAGTAGCATAATATCCATTTGTTAAAGTTAATTCACCTGGCCCACATTGGTAATCTCCTAGAGCCATGACATTCTTATTTGCAATGAAATAATTTTTCTTGCACTTGTAGGTATAAAAAAGGAAGTCACTGAGCTTGAAAGGGCGGGGAGGCATGAAAAAGTTATAGCAACCACCTATCACCTTGTTTAGTGAAATTCTGTATCATTTCTAATGTTTTCCTTCATTTTTTATTCTTTTAAAAATAAAAAGAAAATTGCTAGACAAATCTGAGAGTAGTAAGAAGAGCCATTTAAAGCCACAGAAAAGGACTTCAGAAAACTAATTTTAAATGGTAAAACAAACTCTCAAACTACAGAATTATGTAAAATGCCAGAAAATTTGATCACGTGAAAATATGTGCAAGTATGCATGATAGTTCAAGTGCATAACAGCTGGTCCCCTGCCTCATCAAATGAATATTTATTTATTTTTGAAATTTTTAACTCAGAGAGGCAGGGGAATATCAAATGCAATACCTAAATATCCTATAAAAGCAATTGAGTGAGTCCCTTACAGATGATCAAAAATAATTAGGTATTCACATCTATGAGATTTCACTGAAAATGAAATGTTTTTATATCAAATGAAAGTGACAATAAGCAACTACTATTTGTAGTGCTCTCTGTAAGCAGAGAAAATAGTACTTTGTTTCTCTACAGATTTTTCTCCTCTATGTTGTTAATGCCTTTGAAACTTTGTCTATAACTACAGTATAACACACAAAAGTGACTACTTCCAACTTTGAGACAAATACAAACATAACCAAGAAAAGCAGCTGGATTTTTGTAATATCTGCCATTTAAGAATGTAGGATTATATACTGCTCATCAGAACCACCATCACATCACTCATAAATGTAATGCATATAAGTATAAAACATGTATATGGCTAATAGGAATAAAAATAAAATTGGAGTTTTGCTTTGGTAGAACATATATAACTTTATACCAATCCTCAAAACTTGCTAGTTTTTAAACATACTACTCTCTAGCGCAGTTGTTGATCTGTTATTTTCTCCCACTGGAAAGATGGTATTTAATAAAAATTAATCTAAACTAATTTCTTGAAGGATACAGAATACATACTTACAGTTATTGCAGATATCCCACTGTTCTCACTTTTATGATATAATTTCATTCAAAAGAAAAAAATTGGATAGGCAGAATCTCACATTGCAAAGTCCCTTGTACTCTGTTAAAGCAGCTATTTTTGTGAAAATAGTTGAATACTTCACTTGAATCTTTTAGGTGGAGAATGAGGTCTAATTTTAGGTCTTTCTATACAACATTTGTTACTTTGTCACAAGCAAATGTTATGAAACACCTTCATGAATGTCATCAGAACAAAATCTTTATTAATTTCAGATCCTTTGCCCTATGGCTGAGTGGTGGCATCCACAGAAAGGTTTCTTATTTGGAGACAGAAGAATGGACTAAAGCCATGACTCCATCCCTTGGGGTAGAGTCTGTGTGACCAGGGTGTGCCATTTGCCTTGAGGCTTTATTTCTTCCACCACTAGAAGAAGTAGTTATGAAAATAAGATCTGTTCAAAACCTTACAAATATTAGACCCTTATGTAATTAACAGTTACTATTGTATTACTTTTTAACATTTATGTAATACTTTATGAATTTGATTTCTGAATTACTCCAAAGAAGCGAGTACCATTAACTAGGGACTTGAATGGGAAAGGAAGCC